TCGGAAGTGGATATAGGTCATGACGACCAAACCACTATAAATTTGCTCTTTATTACTGTTATACTTTATTTTTAATTACTTATTATATTTAATTCAAGTGAAACACACTTTCGATATCAATTTCGATACGAGTTTCATCAAATCAAGCTTTTCAAAATAATTAAAGTTTCCTGAATCGATGAAATATTTTTCGTAAGTACTAATTTACTCTCCCTCTTAGTGTCGATTTGATCCTAATAGTTGGTATTAGAGCAAGGCTACTCTTTATTTGGTTTAAACCTAAGAGAGATGACTTTTGCCTGTAATCAACAGAGATATTCAATCACTTATCCTCCTATGTTCAATGAGACAAACTACACTTATTAGAAAACCAGGATGAGAATTTTCTTGCTTTCTATAGATTTTAAATTATGAAATATTATTGAAAACGATTTTGAGAAGTCTTCCAAACCAATGAATGAATGGAATGATTTGGAAAAGAAGACATTCTCCTTAAATGCTAAAGCGATGAACGCTTTGTTTTATGCTCTTCATAAAAATAAATTTAATCGGATTTCTATATGCGAAACTGCACATGAGATTTGGTATACACTCGAAGTCACACACGAAGGCACAAGTAAGGTTAAAGAGTTAAAAATTAATCTTTTGGAGCATAATTTTAAGTTGTTTCAAATGAAACTAAACAAAACTATTGGAGACATGTACACCCATTTATAGATGTCATCAATGGTTTGAAAACACTTGATAAAGGTTTTTCTAATACTGAACTTGTCAATAAAATACTAAGATCCCTTCCGAAAAGTTGGGATCTAAAAGTGACGGTAATACAAGAAGCCAAGGACATGAACAACTTTGCTCTTGAAGAACTTATCGGGTCATTAATGACCTACGAAATGACGTGTAAGACACATGATGAACATGAGAATAACCTTCCAAAGAATAGGAATGATATGACACTTATAATTAAAGAAGACCACTCGAGTGAAAGTTTAAGTGATGATAAGGACTTGACACTTCTAACAAAAAAATTCAAAAGATTCATAAGACGAAACAAAACAAATTTTATAAAATAAGATACTAAGAATAAAAATGAACTAAAAAAGAACACAATCATATGCTACGAATGTAAGAAGCAGGGGCACTTAAAAAATGAATGCCTCCAAGTGAAAAATAAGCTATCAAAGAAAAAGAAGACACTCAAGGTGGCTTAGGACGATTTAAGTGCATCCGAAGATAAGAAGCCAACCAACAAAGAAAAAGTTGCAAACTATACATTAATGGCATTTGGCGATGATATAAGTGACTCAATCGAAGCTCATTTATCTTTTGATTAATTATTAAGTACTTTTTATGATTTGTTTGATGAATGTAAATTAGTTAATAAAAAATATAAATTATTCAAAAAAGAGCATGCTTCTCTTATTAGTGAATTTGATAAATTAAAAAATAAGCATAATGATAGTATGTTAGCTTCGTGCACTAAGTGTAATGAGATAGATTCACTTAAGAAAGAAAATGTCTTACTACAAGAAATATTAGAAAACTGTAAAATAGATAATAAATCTCTAAACATGATTCTTACTAATAAGGGTCATGTTCATAAGAAGGAAGAAATTGGCTTTGTGAGTAACACTCAACAAAAGCCAACTATTTTCATTAAAGGACCTACATTACATGTTTCACCGAGAGAAAAATATAATTTTTATGGAAGACATGATCATTTTGCTTACAAATGTCTATTTAAATAGTTTAGTTCACACAAATTGATTTGCGTTCTTAAAGGAACCCTAAACCACTCAATGCTATATGGATCTATTTACGAGGAACCCAAGATTAAATGGGTACCTAAAAGAAAACCTCATTTCTTGTAAATATGTCTATAATCACAAGCTAGGAGCAAGAGATGGTACCTTGATAGTGGATGCTAAAGGCATGTGACCAAAGTTCCAATACACTTCTCTAAGCTCACTAGCTGAGACGAAGGATTTGTCACATTCGGAGACAACAACAAAGGAAAAATTATTAGAAAAGGAAATATACATAACAAATTAAACCTTTTGATTGAAAATATTTTATTAGTAGATAGTTTAAAGTATAACTTACTAAGCATTAGTCAATTATGTGATAAAAGTTACAACATCAAGTTTGAATCTAATGTTTGCATTATAGAAATACCACACATAAATAGATCCTTGATTGCTTTAAGGACCAACAATATTTATACTATTGATCTTGATGAGTTTTGTAATGAAACTTGCTTTTCAATTTTAAATGATAATACATGGCTTTGGTATAAAAGATTAGGCCATGCAAGTATGAAACTAATTTCATAAATTATAACTAAAGAACTAGTAAGAGGTATGCCTAAAATTAAATTTGTTAAAGACTAAGTTTGTAATGCATCATGCTAACTAGGAAAACAAATAAAAAGTAGTTTTAAATCAAAAAATCAAATAAGTATCTCTAAACCACTACAATTGATCCATTTAGATTTATTTGGACTAATTGATATAATAAGCCTACGAGGTAGTAAATATGCCTTTGTAATTGTTGATGATTATAGTAGATATACTTGGACATACTTCTTGGCACATAAAAGTGATTGCTTTAAATATTTTTTAAAATTTTATAAATTAGTTCAAAATGAAAAGGGTTTTATGATTTCCTCTATTGGAAGTGATCATGGTAGTAAATTTCAAAACCATGATTTTAAAAACTTTTATGATTTAAATAGGTACAACCATAATTTCTCTACTTGAAGAAATCCATTACAAAATAGAGTAGTTGAAAGAAAAAATATGAGCTTATAAGAAATGATAAGAACCATGTTAAATGATCATAGCCTACTCAAATATTTTTGGGTTGAAGCCATTAACATGACATGCTATGTCATGAATAGGGTCCTTGTAAGACCATTACTTTCCAAAACTCCCTATGGATTGTAGAACAATAAAAGATCTAATATTTCATATTTTAAAGTTTTTGGGTGTAAATATTTTATTTTAAATAAAAAATACCTTAGGAAAATTTGATGCTAAATTCGATTAAGGTATTTTTCTTAGTTATTCCTCTAATTCTAAAGCCTTTCATGTTTTTAATAAAAGAACTTTAGTTATCGAGGAATCCATTCATGTTGTTTTTAATGAGCTTCCCAAATTTAAGAAAAATAATTTTAATGATGATTTTAATTTTGATGCTTTAAATTCAAATGAATACTCTCCTCCCCCAAGCAACTTGGATGTATCTTCTTCCAAAGAATCCTTACCTATGAATTAAAAGTATGTAGATGCTTATCCTAAGGAGCTAATAATTGAAGATACATCAAAAAGTGTTCAAACTCGTTCTTCTTTTAAAATTTTTTGTGCGAATATAGCCTTTTTATCGTAAATTAAACCTAAATGCATGAACGAAGCCCTAAAAGATGATTCATGGGTCTTTGCAATGTATGAAGAGTTAAATCAATTTGGGAGAAATGAGATATGTAAGCTTGTTCCTAGACCTAATGACCATTTGGTAATTGGTACTAAATGGGTCTTTAGAAACAAGCAAGATAAACTTGGTATTGTGGTAAGAAACAAGGCTAGACTAGAAGTCAAATGTTTCAACCAAGAATAATGTATCGATTATGAAGAAGCTTTCACTTCTATGGCTAAACTTGAAGCCATAAGGATTCTTCTTACCTATGCTAGTTGTAATAATTTTAAGTTATTTCAAATGGATGTTAAAAGTGTTTTTCTTAATGACTTTATTTTCGAATACTTGGATTTGAGAATGTAATTTTTCTGAATTATATGTTTAAGTTGTGTAAGGTTTTCTATGGATTAAAACAAGCCCCTAGGGCTTCGTATAAGAGGCTTAGTTTTTTTCTTATTTAAAATAATTTTATAAAAGACAAGATCGATACTATATTGTTTATTAAATATTTTAAAAATAATTTTTTTATTATCTAAATATATATTGATGATATCATTTTTGGTTCTTTAAATGAATCTTTGTGTGAATCATTTGTTAAAAGTATGAGAAAAATTTGAAATGAGCGGTGAATCAAATATATGTAGATGATTACAAATTAATCAATTAAGTGATAGAATATATATATATATATATATATATATAATTTAATTCCAGTGTCTTTAATTAATAGTCAACATCAGCCCCTAATGTGGTGCCACTAAATCTGACTTACGGCCAGGCGAACTGAACCCACGTTCTGTGGTGCCGAGAAACCATTCTCCAAAATGAACTTGCAAAACACGAAATGTCACCAGACGTTGTATCTCAAAGCTAAATTTGTGATGTAGAATATGCAAACGTAACAATTACAAAACTGTAAGGGCATATACATATATATTTTTTCTTTTATTTAAAGGAAAAAGTCCAAACTCTTGTTCCGTTGATATTAATTGGCATTTAGGACTCAAACTTGTAAAATATGTACGTCAATGGTATCATATTGGAGGTTTTATTCCTCATATTTTTTTCTAATATTTTGTGGTTAAATTTATAATTCAAATAATCTAACATCACGACTTTTATGATAAAAAAAAAAAATTGAAGGTATATTCATGTGTGTGGATATCTATATGTCAAAATGTCACATAGACCTGGCTATATATAT